GCTTTGCGTTTCGGACGCAAAGCGGGAATGAACCTGTTCGTTTTTCTTATTTCTTTTTTGTTTGTTTGTTTGTTTTCTCCCGTTTCGTTTTTTTTCCCCCCGTTTTTTTCGTACCTTTCAGGCCGACGTTCGGGATGTCTGCGCCCGGTAGTCCGAGCCTAGGCACGGATCGGCGTACCGGTCAGCCGAGGCTCGGACTCGATAGCTGGGCCAGGTACTGGTGGTTTAACCACTACAGCCATGGCACGGTGTACAAAAGTGGATCCATGCCGGTCATGATATCCACCCCACCCCTGCATGGTTGTAGTGTCCTTCAACTCACACACACATAGTCCTTTGGGACATCCATTAAAATTGGAACGATACAGAGAAAGAGAAGATTAGCATGTTGACAGATTCATTGTGCAGGGACGCTGGACCCGATTTCCAGCAGGTGTTGCTCCCCACCAATAGATGGAGCATCCGCTGCAGGGGTCACTTGACGGGGGTGCTCCTATCACCTTGCCAAGTGGCCTTCCTGCTAATGAAGTTGCTTTAAAAAAAAAAATGCATGGCCCTTGTGCAAGGATGACACGAATAGATAGAGGTGTGTTTGCGGAGATGTGCAGAAAATAGCGTTGAGTTTACTTGTCCCCTGTATAGGCTTAGAGGTGGACCCCACAGGGAAGTCTGGAAAAGGGTGGGATCCTGGACTGGAAATCCGACACGAAGGCGGCAGAAGTTTTTTTTCCGGGAATTAACGGAACCTCACCACCATAGCCACTTTTCCGCCAAAGTGACTGTGTTTTTCAAGGAAATGGGTTTGGTCGTTTTGTACTTGTCCGAATGTACATGTTCGACAGTAGGCGATGCAGCTGCGGACCTGCGGAGGGTCCAAGGGGGGGGCAACTGGACCTGTGTGGTCCAGAAAACGGAAGTAGTAGTGGTAGGTAGGTGGTGAGAGAAGACTAATAAGGCGCTGATCCGACATTACATAAAAAAAGAAAAAACAAAAAAGTCCCTGAAAAGAAGGCAACGGGTCGGACGGAGCGGAAAAGCAAACTGAGACCCCACAGAGGCGGGTTCTGCGGGTCTTTCCCAACTACTGCGGCGGGTTTCTTTGGGCTTCTACGGAGTCGGACGTTCCTGTGGTCTGCCGTATCACCTGGTCTCCCTATGTGGGTGACACAGATGTACCTGCTGAAAAGGGTGGACATAAAAAAGGCTGGCACATTTTCACGGCAACTTTCTAGGTAGGGGTAGGGGTCCTTGAGCTTTCCATTTTATCTAGCGTCTTTGGGCCGTTCATCACGGGCTATGCGCCACGTACACATAACCCGAAAACTTATCCCTAACAAAGCGCCGCACCCACTGACCTCGGAAAGTGATGGGGTCCGATTGTTTCACCAAAATTACCTAACTTATGCACTGTCGGATCAGAAGCTAAACGCTGCCTTTGTATTGCACTGCAGCAGAATGCGACAGTCCAGACTCCCAGCTGCAGACACAGACCTGGCAAAACATGCCCGCCTCCTCGCGACTCGCACTCGCCATCGCTAGAAGCACCGTGCAACAGGGGTCTGTATTTACAGACCTCCAGCTGCAAACACAGACCCCGTGAAATCCACCCGTGCGCTTCAGAACGGATTGCACCGCACTCACAGTCACCAGAAACAGCAACTCCCACCATGATGGAGGGCGCATGGTCGTCGATCTGCATAATCTACAGCCACACATCAAGAGCATACGGACCTGGGACCTGGTCCAGGTCCCGCTTTGGGTAACGCATCCACTCTAGCTGCTGATTTCAGTTAATCTACAGTTGAAGAATCCAAGGCAATGGGATCTTCCCCGGGGGTGCGGATCCACTAGCCTGAGGACGATGGCAGCTTTGGGTGACGCATCAACTCTGGCCGTTGATTTTAGTTGATCATGATCTACAGTTGAAGAATCCAAGGCAATGGGATCTTCCCCTAGGGTGCAGTCCCACTAGCCTGAGGATGAGGGTATGCCCGATCCTAGTGCGATGCACGTGACATGTGTGCGACTCGTGAGGGACCTATTGAAAGAAAAATAACATTGTTTTTTGTGTGTGAACGACCTTGCAGGATACAGAGAAAAAACTTTTTCTCCGCAGGTTGCGGCACCACGCAAACCGTAAATTTGAAAACTGCCTGAAAAACGTACTGTTGATTTAAACCACTAGTTCATACGAGCCTAAGGTTAGACGAAGCTACCTTACA